TTAGGAAGAGTGATATTAGGTATGTCCCTACTGGCTTCAATCTTGATCAATGCCTCCGCTAAACTCATGTTCGGGGTGTTGCTTAGACAGTGTTTAGTCTCCTGATACTCCTTCAGTGAAGTTATCCACCCATCAAATCCTTCACTTGATCCAGCAAGAGATGTATTGTCATCCTGAGATGCATTATCTTTATAAGATGCACTGTCATCATCTTCAGCAGCTTGAAATGATGTTGAAGGACCACTTTGAACCTTGACAGATTTACCCTTTCCCTTTGACACAGTCTCTGTTTCATGTTCTGTGATGTCAAGTGATGCTAGATAATCCTCTGCTAATTCTTCTATTCCATAGATATCATTGGTTAGATCCGACTCCCATTTATCTAAACCTGCAACTTTTGCCTCTTCTGTATACTCATACAGTTCTCCATGTAATTCACATGCCTTTGTATAATCAGCTCTGAGTTCTTCTAACTCCTTTAAAATTCTTCTTTTTTTCACCATTTTAGTTTGCATGTTGTCTTTAAGTCTATTTATAGTTCTGGTAATTTTCCCTTTAATCACCTTTCTCTTTGCTTTCACAATCTGCATTCTCTCTTTTACATTGGTAACACCTGCACCTTCAGCCTCTTGTGAACTTCCATTCCACAACTGTCCAACTCCATCAAGTTCCAACGCTAATTCATCTGAATTACTCATTTCTTCTCTGTACCAACTCTTCAAATAATCTTCAGAAAGTTTTGGTACAAATGATAAAGAGAAGATAGTGTTCACCGCTCTTTATTGGCTGAGTCCTTCGTAACATTAAATATGTTCTGAAGAGTAAAATAAATATACTCTTTAGTGATAATAAAGCAAATAAATCAATTAAAGTTCTTGAAAAGTATTCAAACATTCATAATGTTCACCCAAATCATCCCCAATAAAGGTTACATTTCATTTTGAAACAAGGATTTCTCCTTAAATTTAACTCCCTACAAAATTCACATTTACGGTAAATAAACATTTTCTTTGACTGATATTTACGCAACAAAGAATAGTTATACCATTTAGGTGATATAACAATACTTGAAAACATTACAAATTCTTCCAGCATATATTTTGAGCACTCAAAGATGATTGAAAATCGAACAACACGCTCTTTGAAAAATGCAAAATGAATTATCAATAAAGTTGACGTATTTCCAAAACTTGCATTTACGACATGATAATATATTAAACAAAAAACAGTATTTCATACCTGAAGATTAGTGCTAGGCCGCTAACTCTCTGCAACACACAGAAATTCTCACACATTTGACCATCGCGGGTCACTCACGCTCATCGCTGGAGCTCGCAATACACAACAGGGAGTTATCATTATTTTGGAGCACAGTACATATACCAAAACGGCTTGATCAAACCGGCAAACTAAAATATGTCTTTCTTGGCATAAATGAAATTAATTATGTTATTTCAGATTCAAATGTCATATCAACCACTCACTGTCAACTTTGTGTCCACAGACTCGAGTGACCCACAGTCTACATGGAGTAATACACCTGGCTGTATGTTAACTGTTGATGTCCTTGTCTCACTCTAAACTTTGTGTCCACAGACTCGAGTGACCCACAGTCTACTGGGAGTATTACACCTGGCTGTATGTTAACTGTTGATGTCCTTGTCTCACTGTCAACTTTGTGTCCACAGACTCGAGTGACCCACAGTCTACATGGAGTATTACACCTGGCTGTATGTTAACTGTTGATGTCCTTGTCTCACTGTCAACTTTGTGTCCACAGACTCGAGTGACCCACAGTCTACATGGAGTAATACACCTGGCTGTATGTTAATTGTTGATGTCCTTGTCTCACTGTCAACTTTGTGTCCACAGACTCGAGTGACCCACAGTCTACATGGAGTATTACACCTGGCTGTATGTTAATTGTTGATGTCCTTGTCTCACTGTCAACTTTGTGTCCACAGACTCGAGTGACCCACAGTCTAGTGGGAGTATTACACCTGGCTGTATGTTAACTGTTGATGTCCTTGTCTCACTCTAAACTTTGTGTCCACAGACTCGAGTGACCCACAGTCTACTGGGAGTATTACACCTTGCTGTATGTTAATTGCTGATGTCCTTGTCTCACTGTCAACTTTGTGTCCACAGACTCGAGTCACCCACAGTCTACTGGGAGTATTACACCTGGCTGTATGTTAACTGTTGATGTCCTTGTCTCACTGTCAACTTTGTGTCCACAGACTCGAGTCACCCACAGTCTACATGGAGTATTACACCTGGCTGTATGTTAATTGTTGATGTCCTTGTCTCACTGTCAACTTTGTGTCCACAGACTCGAGTGACCCACAGTCTAGTGGGAGTATTACACCTGGCTGTATGTTAACTGTTGATGTCCTTGTCTCACTCTAAACTTTGTGTCCACAGACTCGAGTGACCCACAGTCTACTGGGAGTATTACACCTTGCTGTATGTTAATTGTTGATGTCCTTGTCTCACTGTCAACTTTGTGTCCACAGACTCGAGTCACCCACAGTCTACTGGGAGTATTACACCTGGCTGTATGTTAACTGTTGATGTCCTTGTCTCACTGTCAACTTTGTGTCCACAGACTCGAGTGACCCACAGTCTACTGGGAGTATTACACCTGGCTGTATGTTAACTGTTGATGTCCTTGTCTCACTGTCAACTTTGTGTCCACAGACTCGAGTCACCCACAGTCTAGTGGGAGTATTACACCTGGCTGTATGTTAACTGTTGATGTCCTTGTCTCACTGTCAACTTTGTGTCCACAGACTCGAGTGACCCACAGTCTAGTGGGAGTATTACACCTGGCTGTATGTTAACTGTTGATGTCCTTGTCTCACTCTAAACTTTGTGTCCACAGACTCGAGTGACCCACAGTCTACTGGGAGTATTACACCTGGCTGTATGTTAATTGTTGATGTCCTTGTCTCACTGTCAACTTTGTGTCCACAGACTCGAGTGACCCACAGTCTACAGGGAGTAATACAACTGGCTTTATGTTAACTGTTGATGTCTTTGTCTCACTGTCAACTTTGTGTCCACAGACTCGAGTGACCCACAGTCTACAGGGAGTATTACACCTGACTGTATGTTAACTGTTGATGTCCTTGTCTCACTGTCAACTTTGTGTGCACAGACTCGGGTGACCCACAGTCTACATGGAGTATTACACCTGACTGTATGTTAACTGTTGATGTCCTTGTCTCACTGTCAACTTTGTGTCCACAGACTCGAGTGACCCACAGTCTACTTGGAGCATTACACCTGGCTGTATGTTAACTGTTGATGTCCTTGTCTCACTGTCAACTTTGTGTCCACAGACTCGAGTGACCCACAGTCTACTGGGAGTATTACACCTGGCTGTATGTTAACTGTTGATGTCCTTGTCTCACTGTCAACTTTGTGTCCACAGACTCGAGTCACCCACAGTCTAGTGGGAGTATTACACCTGGCTGTATGTTAACTGTTGATGTCCTTGTCTCACTGTCAACTTTGTGTCCACAGACTCGAGTGACCCACAGTCTAGTGGGAGTATTACACCTGGCTGTATGTTAACTGTTGATGTCCTTGTCTCACTCTAAACTTTGTGTCCACAGACTCGAGTGACCCACAGTCTACTGGGAGTATTACACCTGGCTGTATGTTAATTGTTGATGTCCTTGTCTCACTGTCAACTTTGTGTCCACAGACTCGAGTGACCCACAGTCTACAGGGAGTAATACAACTGGCTTTATGTTAACTGTTGATGTCTTTGTCTCACTGTCAACTTTGTGTCCACAGACTCGAGTGACCCACAGTCTACAGGGAGTATTACACCTGACTGTATGTTAACTGTTGATGTCCTTGTCTCACTGTCAACTTTGTGTCCACAGACTCGGGTGACCCACAGTCTACAGGGAGTATTACACCTGACTGTATGTTAACTGTTGATGTCCTTTTCTCACTGTCAACTTTGTGTCCACAGACTCGAGTGACCCACAGTCTACTTGGAGCATTACACCTGGCTGTATGTTAACTGTTGATGTCCTTGTCTCACTGTCAACTTTGTGTCCACAGACTCGAGTGACCCACAGTCTACATGGAGTATTACACCTCGCTGTATGTTAATTGTTGATGTCCTTGTCTCACTGTCAACTTTGTGTCCACAGACTCGAGTGACCCACAGTCTGCAGGAAGTATTACACCTGGCTGTATGTTAACTGTTGATGTCCTTGTCTCACTGTCAACTTTGTGTCCACAGACTCGAGTGACCCACAGTCTACATGGAGTATTACACCTCGCTGTATGTTAATTGTTGATGTCCTAGTCTCACTGTCAACTTTGTGTCCACAGACTCGAGTGACCCACAGTCTAGTGGGAGTATTACACCTGGCTGTATGTTAACTGTTGATGTCCTTGTCTCACTCTAAACTTTGTGTCCACAGACTCGAGTGACCCACAGTCTACAGGGAGTATTACACCTTGCTGTATGTTAATTGTTGATGTCCTTGTCTCACTGTCAACTTTGTGTCCACAGACTCGAGTCACCCACAGTCTACTGGGAGTATTACACCTGGCTGTATGTTAACTGTTGATGTCCTTGTCTCACTGTCAACTTTGTGTCCACAGACTCGAGTGACCCACAGTCTACTTGGAGCATTACACCTGGCTGTATGTTAACTGTTGATGTCCTTGTCTCACTGTCAACTTTGTGTCCACAGACTCGAGTGACCCACAGTCTACAGGGAGTATAACACCTGACTGTATGTTAACTGTTGACGTCTTTGTCTTACTGTCAACTTTGTGTCCACAGACTCGAGTGACCCACAGTCTACATGGAGTATTACACCTGTCTGTATGTTAACTGTTGACGTCTTTGTCTTACTGTCAACTTTGTGTCAACAGACTCGAGTGACCCACAGTCTACATGGAGTAATACACCTGGCTGTATGTTAACTGTTGATGTCCTTGTCTCACTGTCAACTTTGTGTCCACAGACTCGAGTGACCCACAGTCTGCAGGAAGTGAGAAAACACAAAACTCAGGGAGGACACGGGGGAAACACAGACGAGGTGAGACCAGACAGATAAGTCATCACAGTCAGTACCCTGCGGGCAGTAGAATCCATTTGCTAGTCTCGCTTTAAAGTCATGTTTTGCCAACAGAGGGACACAGGAACAGTTTCAGTCAGGCTTTATTCAGGCCTTGATCTACTAAGTATACTGTTAATTAATGTAAACTATTCACCAGCACTGTCAGATAATGTATCTGTATGATTCAGGCTTTGAACTACTTAGTGAACAGTTTAGTAATGAACATGGCTGTAAACTATTCACCAGCACTGTCAGATAATGTATCTGTATGATTCTATTCAGTATTCTGTTAACTAATGTAAACTATTCACCAGCACTAGCACTGTAAGATAATGTATCGGTATGATTCAGGCTTTGAACTACTAAGCATGCCGTTAATTAATGTAAACTATTCACCAGCACTGAAACATAATGTATCTGTATGCTTCAGGCTTTGAACTACTTAGTGAACAGTTTAGTAATGAACATGGCTGTAAACTATTCACCAGCTCTGTCAGATGTGTCATGTCCAGCACGTGTACATAGTTTAACCTGTGTAACAGCGACACCCACTCCATCACAACGACCCGAACCAGCTGATTCTGACCTCCACGCTGCCTGCTGGACGGGGAACATGGCGGCGGTGAAGCGCATGCTGTCCCAGGGTCAGTCGGACATCGGCGGTAGGGGGGGACTGTTGAGGATGACACCGGTGATGACCGCAGCGTATGAGGGACAAGTAGATGTGGTGAAGATCATGGTGAGTGAAGGGGCTGATGTGTCACTGGTGGACGAGTACGGTGACAACATCCTTCACTTCGCCTGTGTTGGAGGAGATGTGGAGACGGTGAAGTTTATGCTGTCTCTGCACGTGGTGGACAACAACAGTAGAGGAGGGGGGAGCCTGACACCGGTGATGAAGGCAGCATGGAATGGACAGAGAGACGTGGTGGAGCTCCTGGTGAGTGAAGGGGCTGATGTGTCACTGGTGGACGAGGTCGGTGACAACATCCTTCACTGGGCCTGTATAGGTGGAGATGTGGAGACGGTGAAGTTTATGCTGTCTCTGAACGTGGCGGACATCAACAGTAGAGGACGGTGGAGCAGGACACCGGTGATGGAGGCGGCATGGAATGGACAGAGAGACGTGGTGGAGCTCCTGGTGAGTGAAGGGGCTGATGTGTCACTGGTGGACGAGGTCGGTAACAATATCCTTTACTACGCCTGTCTTGGAGGACATGTGGAGACGGTGAAGTTTGTGCTGTCTCTGAACGTGGTGGACATCGACGCCAGGAACAACGCCGGTCAGACAGCGGCCGACGTGGCGAGACGTGCGGGACATGAGGAAGTTGTGAAACTTTTGTAGCCGCCATGGTGTCACGTGATGTAAATAGGAGAAAATGTTGGATCGTGGCGGTCACCTGGGCCCACTTGCACAAAGCAATCTTAGCGTTAAGGTGATCTTAACTCCCATACTTTAACATAGGCTTACAATAGGCTTAGCGCTAAGATCGCTTTGTGCAAGTGGGCCCTGAAGTGAGTGTGGTGTTTGTGTAGACAGTGAAGGAGGACATGTTACACACAGTGACGTGGTGTGCGTTCACGTCGTCGTGTTTTATATTTCAGGATTAGGTGAGAATGTTTGTTGTGTTTGATGATAAATAAACTTGTTGAAAACATTTTCAGACATTTTGTCATTTGTTGTGTTTGGAACTTCGCATGATCAGGTAAGAAAAGTGTTAAGTGAGAGTAAAAAGAGATGCTGTGTGATTAGTGTGTAAACTCTTCATCTCGTACTATTATTCTGTGTTAATTGTGTGCCATGAGTTTATAATTAATTGTGAAACAGACAACAAACTGTTTGTTTACATCTCGCTGCACTCTGTGACCTCAGATTGAGCCGAGGTTCGCCCAGCTGACGTGGCGCCAAATGTACAATGACAGTGACGTCACACTGCTGATGACATCACAGCTTTGCGGTCAAGACCTGTTTATGAATACAGCCCCTGGCTGCCACAGGGACAGATATGTCCCTCCTCTACAACCCTCACTTTTAAGTCGAATAAAGTTCAAAATACATCACGCACACAGATACACTTCACAGTTTTGAATAATGTGAATAATTCCCTGTTCTGTGATGTCACTCACTGGCATTTTAGGCCAAGCAAAAATACTGAAAAATGACCTCGGAAAATTAGGTACATCGTAAATGTCGCCATTTTTTACAAATTACTAAGTCACCACTCACGGCGTTATTTACAGCATGTTTTGAAATCTAAATTTCGGTTATTTAATCGGAAAAATGAATTTAAAAAATAGCATATTAGTGATCACGGGGATCGATCTTTTATGAAATCACCAATGATCATTCCAAAACTCCGATTACCTAAGAATTGTTTAGAATGTTTTGGAAAATGCGCAAACACAAACGCCGAAGTGAACTTTCCGCCATGTTGGTTAGTGTTTGCATAAGAGGTACACCGGTTATGAGGCGCCTGTAACATCCCGTATATTTCAAACTAAGCTGCGATACACACATCCTTGAATTCCTCATACATTTTAGAATCAAATGACCAATGGTCTTTGTCACCAATACGAAGTGGCTTGATGAAATCAAGCAAAATAAGTTACGTGTGAAAACGAACGCTGTGCTCGAAAAACTGCACTTGTTTGAAATGTAAACAAAGCAAAATACAGATTTTATACAGTGTAGCATTTTCTCCTATTTTGAGCTCTCCATTCGTCTATTCGTTCAAGATATTGGCTCAACATTTTCAGAATATGCATGGGAAGAGAATCGTTGGAAGAATTAGGGAATTTAAAATAGATAGATTGCAATGAGATGATGTTATCAACAACAAATAACAGTAGATAGATTGTCAGAATGTTTCTGATTACCTACATGTCCCATTTATATATATATACGATCCCTGAATCATCGAAAGTCCCCTCGTAAAATCACGCGTACTGTTGACAGTGAACACGCCATTTTGTAAAAGTTAGTCACAGGCAGTTATGTCATACGTCAACATTGTTGCACATATTTGTAATTTCTATTACATATTTGTAATTTGTTGAAATTTCTTTGAGGTGAAGGTCCTTGAATGAGAGTGCGCACGATCATTGTACCATGCTGTTTACAGTTTCACGAGGTACGAGTGATTACGGAAAATATGTCACGAGTGAAATTAATGTTTTAAGTTCCGAGCTTTAGCGAGGAACTTAAAACATTAATTTCACGAGGAAATCAGGAGGATTTGTCAAACGGTGATTGGTGATTTGTCAAACGCGGAGTGGACACAGTCAGAGTTTGTTGATATTTTGATGTGATTCATAATGGTCGAATACCTGTTGATAGACAAACACGGTATCTGGAGATTTGGTGCTAAGCTGTCCGCATTCACGGAGTTCATTTAGTTCAATATCGGACACAGGATCAGCTCGCTGTGGTAAGTTTTCCTTTCCTTGTATTTTTAATTATTTTTGTTTTGATTTCAAAACCTCCGAGTTCAGCAAAGTGCATCGATTTTGCAACCAGATGCTGGTAATCATGTCGCTAAGGTAACACTCTATGCTACCCTTGATCTCCTTCAAAGTAACAGTTCGAATTCTGAACCGTCTGATGTGCATGCCGAAATGATAAATTTGCAAATAATAATGTTTAGTTGCACCTTTCCTGTGTCATTAACCCTCATAGTCATATGGTCAGCGGACGTCAGTCAGCCTGCATACCGCTCAGTGCCGTACTTTGCAGACGTCGGGGTTACGAAAAACGTATACATTGTATAAAAAAGTGTCACGTTCTTATTTCTTCACACAACGTTACAAAATTGTACGAAATAGTGTATCTTTATGATGTCTTTCGGAAAGTCTAAATGTTGTTGCAAAATGAATTTGTTTTTATTCTCATGCCATCGTTGAAAGTGTGAGTAGTCATATTTTTCGTGCTTTTCTTACCTTTATACATTTGTGAACCAAATTCATGTCAACTTGTCAAGTTTAGACTTTTTCATTGTGTTTTCATTTTCATTGGCAGTTATCGATGTCATCATCGTTCACAAAGGCAAACCTGTCTATACAAAGTCCGGTTTTTGGATTCGGGTGGTCGAAAATTTCATCACACAGCAAGCCCTCTAACACAGACGCAAACCAGGACTTGGTGGTGATGATCTTGGCGCTCTAGAAACAGTTTCTGGCAACAACACAATCTGAATCTTTGAACTTCAATCTGGCCATATGCAGTTTTGACAACAAAGACATTAAATGTGTTCAGAGGTTGAATTATACGAATAACTTTTCATGTCAGTCAGATCTCCGTCCGCTTTAACGAGGTCATTTACTTTGACAGGTCTCAAATGGCCGGAGATCAATGGCCATGTTTGTTTACAAACGGGGACGTAGTTTTGGTTTTTACTGTAAAATGAAAATCATGTGAAATAAATGAAAAAAAATGATAATGTGTAATCATGTTGTTAATATGAAACTATGTGTGTCTTGTCTTAAAAATCTCGAATCAGTGAGATTGTAGCACGTAAAACATCTGAAGGGAAAGGCGTGGATTTGTGAATGAATGGGATGAGAAAAAAATAGTTCCGTTGTCCAATGAAAATTTATCTTTGTTCCACTGACCAATATCAGCTTCGAGAATCACTAATTGCACACTGTGCAAATATCAAAAAGTTATTACACTGCATATTTGAGCCCATATGGGTAATAAGATGTATATTTTGCATATCTTTTATAATTTTTTTCACACAATTAATTTCACTTTGGATATTTGTCAATGTTCAAAATGATATCATAGATAAATATAGGCCACAATATGTATGGACGATCCTTTGATAATCTCCTGTTTGTTTGAACATATTGTTTACCATATTGTTAACATAACAATGATAGGTTTTTAGTGTCGAATTCGATATTTCTTTCTTTTGGACAAGTGTTACAAGATGAAATGTAAATGTAACTGCAACATGTACGTATTTCTTGGGATGTGTAATAGTCAATATTATAAGTTCATATAACCAATGCCCATGAATAGCCGTTTCATAAAATTTTATAACTAATACTGAATATATAGATCTATTACTTTAACAAAATGGATAATATTTTTCTTTAAAATATATGCACACATTTCTGAAAAAATTGTCTTGGAATTGTTTTTTATGTCGTTTGATACACGGAACAGTGATATCTAACGATTCGCCAGGTGCGCGTTAGTCACAAACAATTTACGAATTATTCCTCTCGTTTTGCATTATATACTCAATGGGTTCATTCTTTTTTCAATATTGTGATCACAGTATATTAAACTGTTTACTTTATTTCTCCAGGAATTGTAAAATGTATAAAATGCCATGCAGGTACCCCGTTGGTTCAACCTTATACGATTATCCTGATAATTCTATACCAATAGAGCTTTCTTCGCATCTTTTATTGCGTAATTCTGAGACGAGATGAAGAGCGATATTAACATAGTCATGAACAAATATATGTCCAATATTGAACATAATTTTGGTTGTTTTGAAATATTCTTTTGGGTATTTCAATACGTAAATTGATGCCAGGTGCGTGCCTTGTCCAATTAAGATACACGATAAACTGTTTAACTGTTTACATATTCAAGACATTATTTACGTAGTGAAAAAAGTCATTTTATGTTGTGTCGAAAAAGCGTCAAAATTCGTTTTAAACATCGAGATTTTCCATACCATGAACGAAAATTAGGGGAGATATATATTAATCAAAATACCAGTGTCGTCTTTCTCCGACGTTATCAAAGACATAAAACCAGCCATGACGTCAAATAGAATGGTGTTATTATTTTGGTATTTCATTACATTTGATGATGAGGTCAGTGCTCCATTAATAATGGTGCAACATTAGTCAAATTATACTTACACAATCAGGAGAATGTTGGAATCTAAGTTATAGGTTAGATAAGGCCATCCATTTCTCTATTACCTCTTTTTTTATGAAGTACGATTTCCTCATTTCTTATGGGTTTTTTTTTATAAATAAACGTATACAGTTTCAACATCGATATTTGTGTTGGAATAGTTTGGTTCCTCGTCAACAAATCACCACGAAAATAAATTGTCCTAACCCACAGCTAATTCTCACCAAGTGACCTGAGTTACAATAAACTAGTGCTAAGCATCGCGGAGTTATGCCCCCTTTTTTGTATGTGTGTAACCTCTCCGTAGCCTTTTGACGTCATAGAGGAAAATCAGTTTTTGTCATTTACGGCATTCTATTTTTGGCATTGAATGTATGTCGTTATACTTTCGCACATAACTTCATTTGATATATACTTATGTCCTTCAGAAATTAGGCAGTATTTTGTTCGCTCACAGTTTTCGTATAGCTTCTAAAAAAATGGTCGCACAGTAGTTTTATCGGTGTACAAAAAAAAGCGGCAAAATTTGCTGTTTTTAACGCAGAATAAATTCGCATATTTGCAGTTAACTTTAGACCATCAAATAGTAAATTTAATATTCTCCACCTCTGCGTAATTTTATAGCCAGAGGTAGATCCAGTGCGCGTGAGCGTAATTCTCCCACAACCTTCACTTTTCCGATCTTTGGAAAATGGGCGTCAGAAAAATACAACTCGGTGGCGTATCTAACTCGTGCAAATCTTTCCATCCTAAAAAGTCAATTTCCCCAGGGTAATTCAA